CAGAAGGCAGGAACCAGACTAGTATAGTTGCAACAGCATTTATTGACTCCAATATGGAACTGAGGAATTGCAGGGAAATGCCTGTAATTTATAATCTAGGCCCACAGGGCCTTAAGCTAGAAATCAAAGACCTAGAAAAAGACAGCCCAGATATAAATGTTCTAAATTTCCCTCCAAAACGGTTGGCATCATCTAAAGGTTAGTTTCACTTTAGCACAGTTAACAGTGAGAGTCGTCTAAAGGGTTAGTTTCACTTTAGCACAGTTAACACAACTATATACATTCAATACATAACAGCCCTTTCCAGTCTGCAATAATTAGAATTGCCACTTGAAGCCAACAAAAATCTAACAAACCTTTTGCTTCCATCTAGTGCAGAGCTGTTAAACTCATGGCTCACACTGGCCACACCCATGTCTGATTTATTGAAGGGGAAAAAATCATGATACATGTGACCATGCCGTGATGATGCAAGTTTGACACCCCTGATCTAGTGGGAGTCTGGAGGATTGCATGCTAGTTCTGTAGCCTGGATTTTAGCAATAGCAATAGCAATAGCAGTTAGACTTATATACTGCTTCATAGGGCATTCAGCCCTCTCTAAGCGGTTTACAGAGTCAGCATATTGCCCCCAACAACAATCCGGGTCCTCATTTAACCACCTTGGAAGGATGGAAGGCTGAGTCAACCCTGAGCCAGTGAGATTTGAACAGCCGAACTGCAGAACTGCAGTCAGCTGAAGTAGCCTGCAGTGCTGCATTTAACCACTGCGCCACCTCAGCTCTGTAGTNGCGGTTTTGACAGGTCATGCATGAGGCGTTGCCCTATGTCAGCTGTAGCACACATGTACGCACTGGCCAGCTGATTTTCAGCCTCACGGAGGGCGGGGAGGCCATTTTCACCTTCCCTAGGCTTCAGAAAAGTCTCTGGATCCCGTGGATGGCATAAAATGGGCCCAACAGGACTACTGGAAGTTCAGAAAGAAACACTCGGTTTGCATGTTGGGCTGTTTTTCACCCTCCCCAGGCTTCAGGAAAGTGTGCCCACACCATAATGCAATGCCCTCCCCCCACGCATGTGCACACAATCCCCCACGCTCCCCCCTGCGCACATGAACTGAGGCCACTGAATTTCTGATACAGCCATTTTTTTTTGCCATCCACAGGCTCCAGAAGCCTTTCCTGAAGCCTAGGGAGGGTGAAAAACAGCCCAATGGGCCTACCAAAAGTTCAGAGGCTTCAGTGAGGCCTGCGCCCATATGCTAGGGAGGCGAGTACAAGAGGTTGTGCATGCATGTGTGGGGGGAGGGCATTGCATTATGGGTGTGGGCACGCGCATGCACCCTTTTGGACGAAAAACGTTAGCCATCACTGGATTAGAGGATCTCTGTGGTCCATTCCAGGTCTATGATTTTATGTTCTATGTTCCATATATAGATACAGATTCATCTATTACTTATGTCTTAAGTAGAAGCTGACTAATTCAATCTATGCTTTTTTTTTTTGTAAAGGAGAAGTTTGATAGTGGCAAAAATTGTTCACCTGCCTACACAGAGGTGTTTAGAATACTTTTTTTATATATATGGGTCATTAGATTTCGAGAGCCAGAATCTTTTTGTCAGATATGAAACTCCCAGACTAAAAACCAAATTGTTTTGTCTCAGTCATCACTAAGCAATATTGTTTAGTTTCTGAGTAATTCAGAATAACTCCTCTGTTGTTTGAGTTCTTTGAAGACCTAAAAAGAAAGGCCTGCCTCTCTTCTTCTCCCTTTCATTGCTTGTTGCAGAGAAGTTCAAGAAAGAACAATCGCGAGTTTCCTAAACATGTATAGAACATTTGATAACAATTACATTGCTTCCCCCAAAGGTTTTGGTGCCTTAGAGGCTACCAACCCATAATATTGAATACACTTATCTCTCAATTTCCTTTGTGTGGCGAAGGATGGATCAAAGTCAAGCCTGTGTGCTGTAGATAACTCACTTTTTAAATACCAGAGAAGAAAGCCCTCTGATCTGGCCTCAAATTGTCAACTGCAAATTGGGAGCCGTGTTGACATTCCTTCTTGTTTGAGATCAATTCCTCCTCTTTGTCTGATCCTGTGGCTTCAGTTCCAGCACTGCCGGAGAACTCAATCTTGTTATAGGATTTTAAGAACTCATTGAGTTCCTTTTTGATGTGGTTGAAATGTAGTGTCCATCTTTTTTTTTTCATACCCTTGGCAGTTTGATTGAGTCCAAAGGGAAGAGGATGGGAGGAAGGGTTTGTTTCAGAACAATTTGAGCTTCTTTGCTAAAAGGTGTAAAAGTGTTTCGTTCAAGGACATATCTGAGACTTTATTTATTTACAAGGGCATACCCTACTACTAATATTGGCATCTGAAACTAATCTCAATGACAGGCAGGCAAGCAAGCAGGAAAAAGAAAGAAAAGGAGAAGGGAAGGGAAGGAAAGGAAAGGAAAAAGAAAGAAAGGAGAGAAAGAAAGAAAGGAAGGAAGGAAGGAAGGAAAGAAGGAAGGAAGACAGAAAGAAATAGGAAGGGAGGGAGAGGGAGAAAGAGAAAGAAAGAAAGAAGAAAGGAATAAAGAAAGAAATAGGAAGGGAGGGAGAGGGAGAAAGAAAGAAAGAAAGAAAGAAAGAAAGAAAGAAAGAAAGAAAGAAAGAAAGAAAGAAAGAAAGAAAGAAAGAAATTATGACATACTGAACATGGAATCACATCACAGGACAATCCACAGATAAGTCCTAACTTTTGGAGAAAAGACATGACACCGGATCCACCTTCTGATGCCACAATCCATATAGATTTCCTTTTTTGCTTCTTCCCTCCACCCTTCTGCCTGCTTATCTATACTTCCAGACAATATGTAAAAATCTAATGTATTCAAGGAGTTCTGTATGCACATTGTGCACATTTTTTAAAATCTCTGTGACAACAATGATGTGAGGAAGGCAGGCTAGAAAAGAGAGCTTGTTCAAAGTCATCAAGACCAGAGTCTGAACCCACTTCATTACTCAGACTGGTTTAATTTCAGAAGTTAATCTGCAGATCCTGATGTTCATCACCGTGTTTTTCTTAATGTGAAAATAGAAGAGAATTAGAACCTGTGTAAAGTATTTGGGACCGTAGAGTACTAGGGACAGAGTGGCTCAGTGGCTAAGACGTTGTGCTTGTTGATCAGAAAGGTTGGAAGTTTGATGGTTCGATTCCCTAGTGCCGTGTAATGGAGTGAGCTCCCGTTACGTGTCCCAGCTTCTGCCAACCTAGCAGTTCGAAAGCATGTAAAAATGTAAGTAGAAAAACAGGAACCACCTTTGGTGGGATGGTAGCAGCGTTCCGTGGGCCTTCGGCGTTTAGTCATTCTGGCCACATGACCACAGAGACTTCTTCGGACAGCGCTGGCTCTTCAGCTTTGATGAGCACCTCCCCCTAGAGTTGGGAACACCTAGCACATAAAGTACTTAAGGATTCGGAATGAAGACAAATGAGTTTCAATAATCTCATATATGTTTAATCAGAATCAACCCCACTCTGTTTAGTGAATTCCAATCCTTAGGTAACTTTGCATTATTCTGTAATTGAGCCTGCATTTTATGCATCCCTCTGTAAAAGCAAGTGAACCAAGGAGAGGGTTAACACAGAGAATTGAATTATAACACTCCTATACTTTCCTAGGTCAGGTATGAGCATGCCTATTTGCGTGGGGTGCCACCCAGTGTTGTAAACTTTCACTGCACATTTCTTTTAGTCTTCTATTAGAATAGAATTCTTTATTGGCCAAGTGTGATTGGACACACAAGGAATTTGTCTCTGTTGCATATGCTCCCAGTGTGCATAAAAAGACAAGATACATTCATCTAGAATCATAAGATACAACACCGCATAAGGTATTAACACCGTCGTTGTGGTGTTTGGAGCTACTCTTGGCAACCAACTTTCCTCTAAAGGCATTATTTTAGAAACGATCATCCTTTCCTTCATTATTTCCACACAATTAATAAGCATCAAATAGCAGGGGTAAAAATACGCAGACAGCCTTGATTTTGTAAAATTCTACAGGGACCAACCCTTTGGAGCAACTGATAGTTTCCTTTTTTTTTCTGTTTAGCAATGAGAATGTATGTATATCGGGTCTCCTTGGCTTCCTTTGGGTACAGCATAGATCTAGCACTGTAAGGACTTTGGCATCTACTGCTTATTTCAACAGTTACGGTTCTTCATCAGGATGGAGATACAATCCTGAACTCATTCTGAAATAGGAAATGGAGACCCCCTAAATGATTGATGGATCTTAACCTTGTTTTTCCTTGATTATTTTCCCATGATTAAAACTCTCTTTTACAACCCGGTAATCCCTTAATTCGGGGTATAGTTGGAGCAACTGGGTGAAGCTGAGCATTTACTTGCCGGATGCCCTTCTTGATGCCTACACAGAGCTCACAGCAGATATTTTATATTTGCGTCCTAGGAGAAAAATGTTTGCCGCTACCAGGGAATGAACTTTCAACCTTCCGAGTGGGAAGTGATCGTCTTCGCCAACAGGCCACCACGCCTCTCTTTCCCATGATTACTCTACTACGTTTATTGTTAACTGGGTAGAAGGTCCTGAAATGATAATATGTTATAGATTTTTTAATAATGATTTTTAAAAGTAGTTATTTTATCTACAAAACTCTGTTTACAATTATGTGTGTGGAGTCCTTGATGCTCTCTGAGCTTATTTGTTTGCTTGAAGATATTTCAGTATCCAACTAGAGATAGTTATCGGTGAATAATGAAATGTGAACAAGCAAACATTCAAACCTGAAGAGCACCAAGGACTCCACAGTTCAATTCTCTCTCTCTCTCTCTCTCTCTCTCTCTCTCTCTCTCTCTTCCCCCCCCGGTCCCCAGGAGCAGTCTATAAGCTTCCTAAAGGCTATGCATGTCCTTTTTTTGGCAAAAAACAGGCCTGTTTTTGCGAAAAATGGGCCATTTTTGGGAGGTCTGCAGAGTGCAAAAACGTTTTTTTTTTAATTGCCTCTTCAAAATCTTGGTGCATCTTATACTCAAAAAAATACGGTAGTTCTATCCAGATCTACTTTTCTTATCACTTAGCAGAAAAAGATCCTGATATACATATGTATGCCAATGTAGTTCTTTTACATTGGCTCAGTGAATGGATAATTATTCCTGCTGGCATGTGAGAGTGAGTGGGTCTAACTCCATCTTACCTCTCCATGCAGGCAAGGGGATTGGGTACACCTTCTCACTCCAATGTTCCCTTGCATTAGTTATGTTTTTTTAACGGTTTCTTCCAGGGAGTTTGAAGATGTAGAAAATGCCGAATTCCAGCTAGATATGTGGTAAGCAGAAACTACTGAATTTCATTGTATCTCATTAAAATTTGAAAACAAGTGTTCCAAAGGAAGTCAGAAAGGAGATAGATTCATTAGGCAAACACCGCTCAATGTAAAGAGGGGGTAGCAGCAGATCCCTTAGGAATGACCAGAGTGGAGCATTTGCTGCCTGAGTTGCTTTCCAGTGCATGTGTGCACCAGTGGTGGGATTCACTTAACTTTGCTACCGGTTTGCAAATGTGAGTGCGCTTGTGAACGTGCATGCACAGAAGGTTGCCCATTATGTCGGGGTGGATGGGCGGAGCTTCCAGAAGCTGCCACTACCGGTTCGCCCAAACTGGTAAGAACCGGCTGAATACTGTAATTGTGGTGTGCTCCCACAAGCCTATGGCCACAGTTGGTGAAGGGGTTGGAAAGGATTCTAGCAGCCAGGCTCTGCCTTCTTTTCTCAACTGGTTTAACGATTTGGACAAGATAAAAAATCTATAAACATAGTTTTAAGTTCACAGTGACGGGTTTTATATTTCATCCTGTAGCAGACTCTAAGCAAAACAATGTAGCTCCCTCCAACTGTCCATCATCTCCCCCCCCAAAAAATGCTTAACAGGAATAAATCCTTTTCTAAGTGGAACTTCGCACTATATTTCTTTCATGCTACAACTAAAATAAGGAAAAAGTAGTACGGAACTACTTTTGCGCCTAGATGAACATTTAATATTCCTGGAGGCTAATGGCCATAAAATGAGAGAGACCATTCCAGAAATAAGTGGGGCAACGGTTGTGAAGGAGGGGGCTCTTTTTATTTTTCTGTTATGTCAACTATAGTTTGTTTCCCCATCTGAAAATATCAAAGAAAACCGTGCTGTCGGTTTTCAAAAATTACTCAGAAGAAGATCTAAGGGCGTCAAAAAGGGGTAGGGAATTCAGGGGCTGCAAATTGTTCAACTTCAAACATCTTTGAGGGGTTGGAGCCTCCTGTAAATAAGCAAAATAACAGGTTGGAGCTCTCCTCTCCACTATTAGAAGAATTGCCAGCTTGGGAGCAGATCATTTTGGAGAAGGTATATACCGTATCTAGGTGGCTTCTGAAAGTCAACCCCCACTTGATGGCACATACTGTAATCAGTTAATCAATCAATTGCTCTTCTTGCTTTGATTCCTTTTCTTTCTATTTCCTGGAGGTCTTGAAAAGGAGCATCAAGGCATATTTTTATTTGCTTTCTTCTAGGGATTTTGATGAGGTTGAACCTGTACGGCACAAACTGGAAGAACTGAGTGACCTTCGTGGCCTGAAAAGGTTTGGGCTGATTATCAGCCTTTTGTATATAAAATTCTGTTAATTACATAACTCAGCTGATAAGACTAAACAAAATATTTAAATAAGGCAGCACATTCTTTTTCACTTTGGTACATGAGAAATGTTCTCTCATCTTTGTCCTTGTTTTGCTTTTTCCTACTCAGAATTCTTAAAGACGCTAGGAAAAATAAAGGACAGGATGATTTCCTGGGGAATGTAGTCATTCATCTGCAGGTAAGGAAGGGAATAGCATGTTGCCAGAATAATGCTGGGACACACGGATGGATGGACACACGGATGGACGGATACACACACAAACCACCTTGATCTTGAGCAGATTAGTCTTTCTTTAGGTGTGGCCTATCTTCTCCACTTAGACAGGAGCATAAATGCCATTAAATAAAAAGGTTAACTGAAATTTCAAANTGGCCTTGACAAGCTAATTGCCAATTAGGTCTTTGGCAGCATTTCAAGGGAGATAAAAGTGGGTGCTTATCAGTCTTATCCCGAAAGACTTTGGCAGATTTCTATCAGACTCTTTGCAAACTATTTATGACTCATTAAGGGCTGTGAATGAACATAATTCACAGCCTTTGAAATAAAAAAGAGAGCTTTTGGGACCAAATGTGTTCTTTTTACTGTATCCAGAAGCCTAGGTCAGAACAGAAGTTTGAAGATTGCTAATGCTGAACTTCTGACTCTTCTCCAGTCCCAAAGTAATTCTCCAACTTTTGAGCAACAAGGCGTCTGAAGCAGCAGGTTGAAAGATGATCAGCCAGAAGTACCCTGCTAATTGCAGCAGAGAATTAATCAATGGCAAAAGAGTCTTGCTTCTGGGGATAATAAAATGAAATAAAAGACAACTGTGCCTTTCCACTCTTAGAACTTGAGCAGAACTTGACTGGTATAGATTATAATTTTGTTTTCCACCTGCTTGCTTTGAGACAGGTTGACAGCTATTAAGAGGACAGAAGCCAGAAAATAAAGACATTCTTGTAAGGACACATATTTACCGAGGCGTTTTCTGCTTCCATGCTATTATTTGCGCCTTCAACATTTTTTAGTGGTAAGGCAGATGTTTTCTATCACTTTGTAGAAAGTTAGCAACCACCTCTCCTACAAGAATGAAGTATTTTGGGAAATATTAAGAAGGCAGAATATTATATTTCTCCTAAAAGAGAAGTGGAAATCTTAAGGGAGACAGAAACTCAGAGCTTCAACTCCCTGCCCCCAGCAGATATTTGGAGCCCATGGAGAAGGACTGGACCAGCCTATCTAACAGAAGACCTTCAGCTCCAGGGCGGTGGGATTAAGACATGACCCTCCATAACATAATGGGATTAATCCATCACTGCATTGCAAAACCTTCTAAGGACATTACATCAGCCCAGACTTCAACCAAACCTATCTCAGACAAATTCCTAGGATGGGAATCTGACAGCAACCAATAAAATGCATGCTCTTGCCACAGGAACAGGAAGCTCAAGAGCAAGGTCCAAAAGAGGGTATAAATCTCTCTCCACTCCATGTGTTCAGCTTCCCTAGGACCATGTGCTTGATGTTTCTGCTTCATTAAACCATCTTTCCAATCAGCCTCCAATTTTCCAAAGTCTTTCTCCCTACTTGGAACTGAATCAGACTGACATTTCTTCCCACAACTTCATCAACATTGGTGCCATTGGATACATAAGCATCTCAGATAAAGAACCAAGCTTATTTGGCATTGATTAAAGAGCAAATATTTTAGGAAAAGGGAGAAAAATATTTTAGGAATGCTTTTGTGGAGGAAGGAGAAGTGGGTGAATACAGTAATGAAATTAAAGCACCAGGAATTCCTTTTCAAGAGCTGTATCTGGAAAGGAAACAACTGCTTCAATTAGTAAATATGATTTATATATAATTCCAATATGATGTACAACATATGTCCAATTGGACTCCACTGAAAACAATTATATATATATAAATCCATACATTCTTCATGGTCCCAGTAAACAAATATGTTTATATATTGATATCAATGAGCAAAATAAATACACATTCCCCTCTGAAGATTAATGTAAATACAGCTGCAGTAGAATCAAACATACATGCTTATCTTTTATACTATATACTTTGTGGTGTTTGTTTTTGCATTGAGTATTCTTTATGTATCTAATTTCAACATAGATGCCCAGAGTCTTTCAACTTAGAAAATATTAGAAACAAACAATAACAGCTACATTTTTCCCTTTATTTTAAAGCAAGCTTTACAAAAAAGTACCCACAATTTTAAAAGAAAAAGAGAAGGAAGCAAAGTACAGAAACAATAATATACAATAAGTTGCAAAATATCCAAACTTACTTACATATCTGCCCGTCTCTCTCTCCATCCATTCATCAATCAATATATCTGTCTGTCTGTCAATACATCCATCTACCTATCGATCCATTTAACTACCCATCCATCCATCCATCCATCCATCCATCCATCCATCCATCCATCCAACCATCCATCCATCCATCCATCCATCTACCTATCCATCAATCCACCTATTCACTTATCTACCTAGCTATCTAACCATCCCTCCATCTACCTATCCCTCCATCTACCTATCCCTCCATCTACCCATCCGTCCGTCCGTCCGTCCGTCCATCCATCCATCCATCCATCCATCCATCCATCCATCCATCCATCCATCCATCCATCCATCCATATATCCTGTGTATGTATGTTAAGTGCTGTTGAGTTTTTGACTTTTGGAATTTGCCTGGATAAATTCCTGCAGTTTGCTTTGTAAGATTGTCAGAAGTGGTTTGCCCTTATTGTCTTCTTCCTAGGTATAAAAGAGAACTATCTAAAGGTCCTCCAGCTGGCTTTGTGCCTAAGGCAGGATCAGAACTCATGGTACCCTTGTTTCTAGCCCAATGGTTTAATCACTAAACCAAACAGATTAACCAGAGAGTAGTGCTAAAACGAAACTCTCTTCCACTTTAAAGTATGGTTTTACTATGATGTGATGCAAGTTTTTTGGGCTATGTGTATTGACTTGCTATATGGATTTAAAAGGGATGTGGTGGCTCAGTGGCTAAGACACTGAGCTTGTTGATTGGAAGGTTGGCAATTCAGCGGTTCGAATCCCTAGTGTCGCGTAATGGAGTGAGCTCCCGTTACTTGTCCCAGCTTCTGCTAACCTAGCAGTTTGAAAGCACATAAAAAATGCAAGTAGAAATATAGGAACCACCTTTGGTGGGAAATAACAGCGTTCTCTGCACCTTCGGTGTTTAGTCATGCCTGCCAAATGACCACGGAGACTTCTTTAGACAGCGCTGGCTCTTCGGCTTTGAAATGGAGATGAGCACTGCCCCCTAGAGTTGGGAACAACTAGCACATGTACCTTTACCTTTATGGATTTAAGAATCACCAGGGTAATTATGATGAAGAACCATATTTTTCTTTCAATTTCTCAACTCTGTTTCCATCCTTTTTTGGTCTTGGTGACTTCATGGATCTGGGAATGCAGTTTTCTTCAATGCTGCCACATGGACATGGGCTGTCCTTCCTCTGAGATATCCTTTCAATTTCCCTGCCTTTCATGGCGTCCTGGGATTTCCTGGCATTTTCTCATCAAAGGACAAACTCAATTCACCTCTGCTTAAATAAATAAATAAACGCTTCAAAATCAGTCCAAATGAGAAGTATCAAATAATCAAGTTTGTTCCATATGACAGCTGGTGGCAGATGGCCTGGAGACAGGGGGATACCATGGATGGATGAGAATTTGTCTGAATTTATGTATGAGTGATTATAATGTGAAATAACTGAAACACTTGGATGGAAGAATGGACTTCCCTTAGAACTGGAATGGCACTCAGTTTTGTGCGAGCAAGGAAAGTATACACCCAATGGGACATACAGGACCTTTGTAGGAAAAGGTCAGGGGAAAAAAATAAAAGTGATAGAATGAGCAGTTGGCAGTTAAAATATTTGTTATCCAGAATCAAAAATTGCTAGAATGGGTATTTTAATGTGGGCCCAAGATATACACAATTACTGCATAGTTGGAGCTGCATGCCCTAACTGAATAACAGAGTTGGAAGGGATCTTGGAGATAGTAGAATAGAGTAGAGTAGGAGAGGGGAGGGGAGGGGAGGGGAGGATAGGATAGGATAGGATAGGATAGGATAGGATAGGATAGGATAGGATAGGATAGGATAGAATAGAATAGAATAGAATAGAATA